TGCTAATAGCGGGTGATTTTAACGCGTGGGCACAGGAGTGGGGGAGCACCACCACGAATGCTAGAGGCAGAGCCCTGCTGGAGATCCTAGCACCCCTGGATCTGGCCCTTCTTAACGAGGGCAACCAGGAAACCTTCAATAGAGCAGGCGCCGGTTCCATTATTGACCTGACCTTCGTCAGCAGTAGTTTGGCACGGACCTCAGAGTGGAGAATCGCCGACATCTACACGGCCAGTGATCACGAGGCCATACTCTGCTCGCTCGGAATCAGCCGGGCGACCTCGCGCATCCCCCCCTGCGGCAAGGCGTATCGACAATACACGCTAGACGTTCAACAAATGGCAAACCACGTGCGGAGGGCTGAGCTCGATCTCCACACTACAGCAAATGACTCGGCGGCGGCGCTTGCTACGGCCCTTGATGCGGCCTGTAACGCATGCATGAAGGCGCGCACGACCTTTGCACGGCATCACAAACCAGCTCCGTGGTGGACAAGCCATATCTCGGCTCTTCGTAAGGAGTGCCTAAGGGCTAGGAGATCCCTGCAGCGAGCTCGAGGCACTGACGCGCAGGACCAAAGACACCTTGAATTCAAGGCAATACGGGACAGCAAGCGCGAGCTGTTCCTCAAGTTATGCGACGAAGCAGAACACGACCCATGGGGACAGGCGTATAAAATCGTAACAAAAAAGGTCAGGGCGGGAAGCCAGCCCCCCTCAGACCCGGTCGCACTGAGCGCCATAATAGACGTCCTATTCCCAAGCTGTCAAGGAGAAGGAACACGCCCGGCTATTGAGGACTTCGAAGAAGAGTCAGTGGAAGCGGTCACAGCAGAGGAGGTGCTAGCGGCCGCACGAAATCTAGCCCCCAACAAAGCTCCCGGCCCGGACGCGGTGCCAAACCGAGCACTCAAGGTAGTCCTGGCGCAAATACCAGAAAAGATTGCAGCAGTCTATAACCAATGCTTGCTGGAAGGATCCTTCCCGAAGGTGTGGAAGAAGCAGAGGCTCCTTCTGCTAACAAAGCCCGGTAAGCCACCCGGTGAGGCCGCGTCTTACCGACCCATCTGCCTCCTAGACACCGTAGGCAAGGTATTGGAGAAGATCCTGGCCACGAGACTCCAGGCGGCGATAAGCCGGGAAGGCGGACTGGCAGAGGAGCAGTACGGGTTCCGGAAAGGGAGGTCAACGATAGACGCCATCATGAGGGTGAAGTCCCTGGCAGCTAGCGCCATCCAAGGCACCAGATGGGAGGGGGGAACCAAACAATACTGTCTGGTTACCACCCTGGACGTAAAGAACGCATTCAACACGGCGAGCTGGTCGCGGACTCTCGAAGCCCTGAAGGAGCTTAGGATCCCGGAGTACCTGTTGAAGATGGTGGATAGCTACCTGAGTGACAGAATACTCCTATACGACACGCGGGAAGGCCAGAAAGAGCGAGTGGTCTCAGCCGGAGTGCCGCAGGGCTCTGTGCTAGGCCCGCTTTTGTGGAATACGATGTATGATGGAGTACTCCGATTACCCATGGATGAGGGTACTACCATCGTTGGATTCGCCGACGACATAGCCATAGTGGTGGTGGCGAAGACTGTTCGCGGGGTGGAAACCCAAACAAACTCCGCGGTGGCGAGCGTAGAGGCATGGATGTCTAGGGCAGGCCTTCAGCTCGCTCCACAAAAGACGGAAGCGGTGCTAATTTCGAGCCGGAAGAAGGTAGAAACAGCGACAGTTCATGTAGGAGGAGTGGCCGTTACCTCGGGGAGAGCTCTAAAATACCTGGGGGTCTGGCTCGACACAAGGCTCTCGTTCCGGGAGCACCTCGAGTACGCCCACAGGAGGGCGAGCGAGACGACGAGGGCCCTCTCGCGGATGCTCCTCAATATCAGAGGCCCGAGGCAGGAAAGGCGCAAGCTGATCATTAGTGTGGTGAGCTCCCAAATCCTGTACGCTGCCCCAGTGTGGGCCGAGGCGATGGGAGTAAGGTCCTACGCACGAGGAATCGAGGCAGACTACCGCCTATGCGCGCTACGGACGTCCTGTGCCTTCAGGACGGTGTCGGACGACGCGGCCCTCGTGATCGCAGGTCTGATACCACTAGGAGAGCTAGTCCGAGAGAGGAAGGAGCTGGCCAACATGGCTCAGGACAGCCCCTCTTCGGCATCGGACAGGAAGAGGGAAGCGAGAGCCACTAGCTTGGCAAACTGGCAACGACGATGGGAGGCATCTTCCAAAGGACGTTGGACATTTCGACTCATTCCGGACGTGGGAGAGTGGACCGGAAGGAAGCACGGCCAGGTAGACTTTTACCTCACTCAGGCCCTCAGTGGGCATGGGTGCTTCAGAAGCTACCTAAAGCGTTTTGGCCACGAAAGTGAGGACGGCTGCCCGTCGTGCGGCAGCGGAGTCACAGAGGACTCACTCCACGTCCTCTTCAATTGCAGGCGATTTGAGGAGGATCGCCTAACCCTGGAGGAGATCCTGGAAGAGGCCTTTACACCAAGCAGTATGGTGCCTCAAATGCTACAGACGCCGGTCAAATGGGAAGCGATAGCCGTATTTGTGGCCAAGATCATGACGGAGCTGAGAGCCCTGGAGAGGGCGCGTAATGGGCGGGAGGAGTAGGGCGCCAGAGGTGTGCGAAGCATTGCTTCACGGCCGTACCGCACAACTTAGGCCCATGCTCCTACAGCCCAGTCGGGGAACAATAATGTATAGTAGGCATGTAAGATAGTTTTAATTAATAAACACGAATATAAAAAAAAAAAAAAAAAAAAAAAAACCCTTGCAGAGGGTATTATAATTTTGTCCAAAAGTGTGCAACGCAGTGAAGGAGACATCTGCGACCCTATAAAGTATATATATTCTTGATCAGGATCACCTCCTGAGTTGATATGAGCATGTCCGTCTGTCCGTCTGTCCGTCTGTCTGTCTGTCTGTCTGTCCGTTTTTACGCGAACTAGTCTCTCAGTTTTAAGGCTATCGACTTGAAACTTTGCACACACCCTTCTTTCCTTTGCTACTGCGTGCAGTATAGCTGCCATATAACTGAAAGATCGGAATTGACCCAACTTTTGTGTTTTTGAAGATAGAAAGCTGGAACTTGGTACAGATTCTATTTTTGTTCAGTCAGTTCATCCAACCTACCAAATTTCATAAGGATCGGCCAACTTAATCCGATGGTTGCGATATATATCCGGTTTTAACTGCAAGGGTATATCAACTTCGGCTTCGCCCGAAGTTAGCTTTCCTTTCTTGTTTTTAACTCATAATATAATCTTAAAACAAAAAAAACAAGAAAGGAAAGCTTATTCGGGCGGAGCCGAAATTGATATACCCTTGCAGTTAAAACCGGATATATATCGCAAACATCGGATATAGTTGGCCGATCCTTATGATTACATCATAATAAAACCAATAAACTACAATAAAAAATCTAAAAAAAAGTCCCAAGCTTCTATCTTCAAAAATACGAAAGTTGATATATCTACCAAGTACCATTTCCGATCGTTCAGTTATATGGCAGCTATAGGATATAGTCGACCAATCCTAATGAAATTTGGTAGGTTGGATCAACTGACCAAAAATAGAATTTGTTTTGTCCTGTCTATCTTCAAAAACACGAAAGTTGGGTCATTTTCGATCGTTCAGTTATATGGCAGCTATAGGATATAGTCGGCCGAACCGGGCCGTTCCGACTTATATACTGCGTGCAAAGGAAAGAAGGGTGTGTGCAAAGTTTCAAGACGATAGCTAGTTCGCGTAGAAACAGACAGACAGACGGACAGACAGACGGACATGCTCATATCAACTCAGGAGGTGATCCTGATCAAGAATATATATACTTTATACGGTCGGAGATGTCTCCTTCACTGCGTTGCACACTTTTGACCAAAATTATAATACCCTCTGCAAGGGAATAAAAATATATATATATATTGTATATGTATATATACATATATATGGTATATAGTAACATATTAACAAAATTTCTTTAAGTGTATATCAGTAAATTTTGTAAACCGAAGCTGAAGCCTTTTGTATTGAAATTCGTAACCCAGCTGCAAATAGCCTCATTCTAATTTTTGTAAAAACAGAAACATTTAGCTATTCCAATTCGGCTGAAAACAGCCTCATTTCAGATTTCCAATTTCTAAGAGTCACTTCAGATTGAAAACCAAAACAATATTTGGGTAAACAGAAATCCCGACTCAAATCTTTCTCACTCCTTTTAAGTGAATTAAAACTAAACAGATCAAAACATTCTTAAATGGGAACCCACTTCACAGGAAATTTCACATTTTCTTGTCACCTCGATTAATTGAGACCCCAAGTCTTCCATGTCAACTGACACCTTAAGTAAAAGATTTCGACTCAATCTATTCTCTTCAGAAAACAAAGCCTCTCAGAGAGAAAAGCTTCTTTCGAGCTTTGATCTGCAAAAAGGGTAGCTATAAAAAGGACCTAGAGCTCTACAGATAAGTTAGTTCTAAAATTGTAACATCCTAAGCAGTAGTTCTGAATTTTCTAAAATAAAAGAACCACACTGTATCAAAACCGGAACTCAAATAAAAATATATTTTTTTAAATCTAATTTTGAAGAAGATATATTGTTTATGAATAGTGGACTGTATTATGGTTTTATTTATAGTTTTATGCATTTATTTTCACTATTTAGCGGGTTTACAATGTTTTTAAGCGGGGTTGCTATCAGCGAGCGGTTGCGGTTAATGTCAAAAAAAGAATGCGGCCGGCTTGCAAAACGTGCAGAAAAGAACTGAAAAACGTTTGCGTGATGTTCTAATACTAACGCATTGCACTGCAATTTCGGCTATGCGTGTGAGCTTAAAGCTCCCAAATGGTAAACAAGACAATGATGTGCGCAAAAATAGGTACGATAATAAGAAATTAATTAACAAGTAAAGAAGCAAATGTAATACTATTTAAATGCAAAATAAAGACGAACTATTTCTCAACATACCGGCCCCTCTGAACGACGGTTCAGTTCAAAGGAAGCACAGCAATTTTCGTAATAGGGCGCTTGTAGATTCCCTTGGCGGTTTTAACGGTGACCACCCGGACCCTCTGATCCTGGCCAGGATGAACTTCGGTGACTCGTCCTAGCATCCACTTGCTTGGCGGTTGGTTGGGCTCCTTCAGCACAACCAGTGTGTCCACGGCAACATTTGGAGCATCTTGATGCTATTTCGTGCGAGGTTGAAGCGTGCTGAGATACTCGAGATTCCAACGTTTCCAGAAACCTTGAACCTTGGCCTGTAGTTGTCTCCAGCGCTGCAGTCTGTCGATGTTTACATCCAGGAAAGATGCAGCATGTTGATAGTGAACTAGCAGACCAGCTATTGGAGATTCCTAAGGAAGGAGAATGGGATGCTTTGCGTCATAAGTAGCTATAGAATTATCGATGCGACCACCAACACGCTCTCTGCTCTCTTACTCTCTGCTCGTCTAAAATGGGTGTGCAGCGAATCAACTTCGATTTCTTCGACAATGGCTGTCCGGTAGTTAACTGCTTGTACTCCACGTTGAAGAACTCCTCTTAAGCGTGCGTAAAGATCTTAGCTCGTGCATATTGTAGCTCCCACGCCGATAGGAATGGTGAAAGTCGATTCCTCTCACGAAGACGATGAACGAAGCGAAGGCAGTAGCTGACTATCCTTAATAAACGGGACCATGAGGAGGGTTTGTTGATCATACAAGATAGCGAATTTCCGTCGTCGGAAATGTGTAGATTAACTTTCGTTTCAGCCTTCATCTCTAGGCAGGCCTCTTCTTCTGTCGACAGAACAAACTTAGCTTTAACAGGTGGCCAAGCTGAACGTGACTGAGATAGCCAAGGTGGTCCATTCCACCATATTTGATGATCCACGAGGTCCTTTGGCAGTACTCCTCGCGATGCGGGATTCTGCGGGATTCACCACTTCGAATATTTTGCCAGCAGCTGCGTGTGCAAACCTCTAGAATTTCAGCAGTGCGGTTGCAAACATAGGTGTTCCAAGTCCTAGGCGGAGAAGATAGCCAATGCAGGACTATTTCAGAGTCTGACCAACAATTGATTCTGGAAATAGGAACAGTTAATGATTGCTTGACCAGATAAATCAGTTTAGAGAGTAAATGAGCTGCGTTTAACTCTAGTCGCGGAATAGAGATAGGCTTAATAGGGGCTACGCGACTTTTAGCCATAATCAGTTTGGCAGCATATCCATTGTTGACTTCGACGCGGCTATAGATGACGGCAGCATACGCTTGAGATGATGCATCAGCAAATCCGTGCAGTTCCATTTCTTGATGTGGTGCAGATATGTAGCGAGGAACTCGACAAGTTTCCAATAAATGCATTTCCGATACAAACTGTTGCCATCGTGTACATAATTGCTGCGGTAGTACTTCATTCCAATCGACAGAACTTAGCCAACTTTCTTGAAATAGGATCTTCAGAAAAACAACAGTTGGCGAAAGCAAACCCAGCGGGTCGTAGATCTTGGCTAGCTCTGAAAGCAATATGCGTTTAGTAAGAGCAGATGTAAATGCGGGGGTTTCAAATTTGAAGAAAATATAGTCCGGTTTTGGTTCCCAACACAATCCCAGGACTTTAACAAATCGAAATGAGCGGTCTTCCTCTAAATCCTCTGGTGGATACTCACAAATCTCCTTTGGCAACGACTTTAAAAGGGCGTAACAGTTTGAGCTCCACTTTCGCAATTTGAATTGAGCTTCGCTAAGAAGCAGAATCAATTCATCTTTGAGTGCAATGAGATCCTTGATGTTGTCGCATCCAGTAGGAATATCATCAACGTACGCGTCTCTGTTGAGCACGACAGCAGCGGTGGGATACAATTCGGCATAGTCATTCGAGAGCTGTTTAAGAACTCGAACTGCAATAAACGGCGATGAAGCTAATCCATATGTTACTGTCAACAGTCGATAATGATCCAGCGTTTTCATCCTTCCTCCAAACTATGCGTTGGTACTGTGTATGTTCGTCCGACACCAAAATGCCTCTAAACATCTTCTCGATGTCTGCACAAAATACATAACGATGCTGACGAAATCGAAGGCATACTCCAATTAAGTCCCTTTGAATAGGCGGTCCTATATGCAGTCGCGAATTAAGAGAATGACCCGTGGAATCCTTTACAGAGCCGTCAAATACCACTCGGCAACGTGTGGTAGTACTATCTGGCTTAAAAACTTCATGGTGTGCCAAATAGTTGTAGCGTGCGGGATCCTCACCGCCTGCAGCAGCCGGAATCAATTCCATATGTCCTCGATTTAAATAATCATCCATGAAATTCACATATTGTTGTTTGAGTGCGGGGAATCTTCCAAATTTCCTTTCCAAAGCGGCGAAGCGGTTTAAAGCCTGTGGCAAAGTGGAGCCAATTGGCGTGCGGGGCTCCTTGAATGGGTATTGAAAAATATAAACACCATCTTCTCTACGAGCATGTGTTTTCAGAAAATGTTGTTCGGCGGGATCACTGGCGTCTATCGTTGTTTTACTCGGATGCACTTGTTCCATGTCCATAAATGAGCGAACTAAGGAATCCAAATCTTCATAAGCGTGAAGAACTTGTGCGTGCGTAGATGCTTTGTTACAATCAGTATAACTGCCTGTAATAACCCAACCAAAATTAGTATTCGATACCAAACTCTCGGCGATGTCCAGTATATAAGTTCCACAGCTGATCAGCTCCTAAGATAACGTCGATTTTGCCCGGAGATCCAAACGTCGGGTCAGCTAGCGGTAGGCTGCGAATCTTGGTCCAAATAGTTGCATTTGATTTGACCTGCTGAGCTGGAATCGTAGAAGTTAGAGAACTCATAATTAGACAAGAGACTTCCAATGATGCAGTCGTGGTTCTTGAGAGTAAGGTGAAGGTAGCGCGACCTCGGCTAACACCAGCCGGGTTAGCACCTAAACCAACTACCGAAATGCGGGCATGCGTGCGAGGAATTCCGATCCTTTGGATAAAGGACTCAGATACCATGGTTATTGTCGATCCAGTATCGAGCAATAACCTACATGAGGTCTCGTTTCCCCATGTGTCAATTACATTGGCGACAACAGTTGGCAGTTGGGCTGGATTGTTGGCCCTCTCCAAAATATGATGGCTAACAGCGGCAGTATTCGTATCAGCGGCAGTCGAGTGCGCAGGTGCCACAGGAACCGATCTTGCTTCAATCAGGTGTACTAACGTGTGATGCTTAGCGTTGCACTGACGGCAAGTGTTCGATAAATTACAATCCCTGACTTGATGCGATCGACTCAAGCTGTTGAAGCATAATTTTGTATCCTTGGCGAAGGTGCGGCGGCTGACTACATCCAGTGCCTTGAATTCATTGCATGAATATGTAGAATGCTGTCCTTGGCAATATATACATTCGCGAGACGACTGAGTTGATCCACTGGCATGAAAGGCGGCTTGGCGGCGTCTACTCTGGGCTGGTCTTGAGGGTTGCATTGCGGGTAAATCCTGACAAGACTCCAAAGTATCACAATGAGCGAAAAGAAAGGCGAACAGATCATCTATGGTGACGTCTTCAGTGGCCGATATACTGCAGTTGGCCCAAGCTTGTTTAATTTCTGAACCTAACTGTGACAGCAAAATATGAATGAGCCATACATCGCGGCTGTCACAGTTCAGCGCATGTAAGCCTCGAATGCATTCGTCGGCCGAGTCAATTACCTTGCGTAATTCTGCAATATTCGAATTGTTAGCGATTGGCAACGATAAAAAATTCTGAACAAACGATCGAGCGATGAGCGACCTTTTATTATAACGATTTTCTAATTTTTCCCATGCGTCTTGGTAATTATCATTACAGACGGCAATATGTTTAATTAGGGACAGTGCTTCTCCCTCCAGATATAATTTGAGATAATGAAACTTTTGGCACTTGGAGAGCTTTTCGTTACTATTTACTGAGCTTAAGAACAGATCACTAAACTGGCTCCAATCCTCATATTTACCAGAAAATGTGGGAATCCGAATTTTCTCAAATCTTAAATCAGCAGTTCCCGATGAAGTATGAATTTTCTCCAAAAGGTTGTTTTGTCCCTCAAATAGGCGTTCCACTGTACTTGAAAGTAGAATGTTCGACTTGTCCTGTCCATGATCTTGACCTCCCATGTCCTTGATGGCGTTACTAAAAATAGCATGCGCGGCGTAGAACTTGTCTACGTATTCGGGTATGTCCAATCCAGGGTCTTCATATCCCTCCTCCAAGTGAAATTCCACTAACTCATCTGAGAGCTCCATAAAGTTGTTGAAAGTGGCGACCAAACGCTCCAGCTTGAATTGCAATGTTTCCACATTTTCACATCTTTGTGAAAACTCCACAGCACTGTTGAGGGTGCGCGTTATTTGCCCCTTGCAGGCACCACGTTGTTGAATCATTCTATGCATTATCGCGTTCATGACGAAAAAGCGGTAAATTTGTCTCTATTGTTCACAAAAGTAAATGCACAAATAAACGCGGGTATCCGGCTCGAACGGACCAAAATTTGTTATGTTTATGAATAGTGGACTGTATTATGGTTTTATTTATAGTTTTATGCATTTATGCAGTTTTTAAGCAGGGTTGCTATCAGCGAGCGGTTGCGGTTAATGTCAAAAAAAGAATGCGGCCGGCTTGCAAAACGTTGCGTTAGTATTAGATGTTCTAATACTAACGCATTGCACTGCAATTTCGGCTATGCGTGTGAGCTTAAAGCTCCCAAATGGTAAACAAGACAATGATGTGCACAAAAATAGGTACGATAATAAGAAATTAATTAACAAGTAAAGAAGCCAATGTAATACAATTTAAATGCAAAATAAAGACGAACTATTTCTCAACATATATAATTGGCGCAGTCGGTAGGATGTGTAAAAGTGACCAGTGATCAATCGAGATCATAGAACATCGTTGAAGTATTTTATGCTAATGCAACCGCAGCTATAATACTAACCGCGAGTGTTAATCGCTATTCACATCCGCAAAAGAACATACGTGTTAATTTCAATTTGTAGCCCACTTTTCGAAGTGTGACTGCTACCGAAAATATACAAAACACAAAAAATTAAAATAAATTAGTAGCCCGCTTTCTTAGTGTGACCGCTACCGAAATAAATAAGAAATACAAACATTACAATGGCTGAAACAGTGGCACAAATCCAGTTTCTCTCCGAGCTACACCTTAAGCAGGATTTAAGCCAGATTAGGCAAGTTCCCCATTTTAATGGAAGCACCAGGGAATTAAGTGCATTCATCAGACGGATCGAATATATTTTAAATTTTTATTCATCAACTGATCCGCGTCAAATAGCTGTATTCTTCAGTGCGATTGAGATGCAATAATCAGGAGATGCACAGCGAGTGTCCCAGCTATCAGCAGCAACCAATTGGCCCGATCTAAGGAGTGCTCTCATCGATGAATATAAAACCCAAACCCCATGCGAGGAATTACTAAGACGACTCTACAATACCCCCTTCAATGGAAGCATTCGTAAGTTCGTCGAGGATCTAGAATATAAAATATTTGTCATATTAAACAAATTGTCGTTAAAAAAAAATAATTTAAATAATAATAATAATCCCATGAATAATACTGTAAAAGATGTAATAAAGAGAAAACTTCCTGACAGGTTATTCATGACTATTCGGTTTGACGATTTATTAGAGACTAAAAAATGCTGCACGCAGGCAGAACCAAAACTTAAAGAGGAATGATAATTCGTTACTCGTTACTTTAGTGTATAACATAAGAGGAATAAGATATACAGTGGTGCATATACAAATATTTTCAACACTCCTCACCGCGGTATATCTAATTCAAAAGATTCTTTTTTAGTTTAACCCTAGTAAAGTATTACATTTTGTGTGCTTAACTTTACATAGAGCTTTAGTTAGAACATCTGAAATCATTTTTTCGGTTGGAACATATTCAATATCAATAACTTTCTTCTTATATAAATCTCTTATGAAATGATACTTGATATCTATATGTTTACTTCTAGCATGAAAACTCGCATTCTTTGCTAAACATTGGGCGCTCTGGTTGTCACTGTAGATCATCAATGTTGGCGCCGTCTCGAAACCCATCTCAGATATCAGCTTCAGCACGTAAGCTGCCTCCTTAGCTGCTTTTGAAAGCGCCACATACTCAGCCTCCGTGCTACTGAGTGCTATGATGCTCTGCTTCTTCGACTCCCACTAAAAAAACGCTGCTCCAGCCAAAAAGAACGCCCAACCACTGAACGATTTTCGGTCAGAACAGTCACCTTCCCAGTCTGCATCCACAAAGCAGTGAACAGGCACACCAGTTCGATCAAAGTGCAGCTTCAAGCTCGAAGTTCCTCTTAGGTAACGAAGGACGCGTTTAGCGGCCACCTCATGTTCCTTATGGGGGTCACTGCACTTCTGAGCCAACTTTGCCACACAATGAACAATGTCCGGCCTCGTAGTCATTGCTAGGTACAGCAGTGATCCAATAAGCGATTGATACTGCTTCTGGTTGGCTCGTGGACAGTCTTCTAAAACACATAGGTTCTGATAACCAACCTCCAAAGGCGTTGCATTCGGCTTACAGTCTTCCATGCCATAATCTCGTAACAGCCCGTCAATATACTGCTTGTGGCCAATTGCCACACTGCCCGCCTCTCCATCCCGCTCGATCTCCATGCCTAAAAAATGTTTCAGCTCTCCGCCATCTACTACTTCGAATTCCCGTGCGATTTGAAGTTTTATGTCGACAAGGTCTTCTTTTCTGGAACAGGCCATAATTAGATCATCGACATATACAACAATTATGTTAAATTTTTCGCCGTTGTTTTTGGTGTAAATGCATGGCTCACTGGGACATTGTACAAAACCAATACGCTGAAGAGTACTGTCCAATTTCTGGTTCCATTCACGCCCACTCCGCTTCAGACCGTATAAAGACTTGTGTAACTTCAACCTTTTTGGATACGCTGTGTCCACGAACCCTTCCGGTTGCCGCATGTAGACTACATCTTGTAGGTCGCTATTTAGATACGCAGCTGAGACGTCCATTTGATGCATAAAAACTTTGTTTTCGACAGCCAGTGCGATCACCAATCGGATAGAAGAATACCGAGCCACTGGGAAAAATGTTTCTGTGTAGTTTATGCCGTACTCCTGTCCACAACCTTTTGCGACTAAGCGAGCCTTGAACCGTTTCACGTTGCCGTACTGGTCTCCTTTAACCGCAAACACCCATTTACATCCAATAGTTCTCTCGCCAGGAGGAAGATTTACAAGACTCCATGTATTGGTGGACTGTAGTTGAGAATACTCCGTTAAGCATATTGTATTCCTTACGTGGTCGTCCTGGCCTTCCAGTACGAATTATCTTAGGCCTACCTGGGCCTCGCTGAATTCGTTCGACGCTATCAACCAACTCGTCTTCACCATCTTCGGCTCCCGACTGTCCGTCCCTTGCATGATCTCCGTCATTTTTATCGTGACCGCCATTTATCTCCTCACCAAAAACGCTTCCGTTTTCTGCCAATTCTA